AAACTTTAGCAAATGCCAATCATCAGATGCCAAATGATCAAACTTTAGCAAATGCCAATCATCAGATGCCAAATGATCAAACTTTAGCAAATGCCAATCATCAGATGCCAAATGATCAAACTTTAGCAAATGCCAGTCATCAGATGCCAAATGATCAGATTTTAGCAAATGCCCAGTTATCCTGTTTTGGCAAACGCCCAACGGAGCCCTCGCTGTCTGGGGATGGGAAGAAGGGTTTATTCTTGGCCGGCCCCGTTAAGAGCCGCTCTTGGGGCTTTGGCACCCAGAGCCAGACGCCGTGGCTGAGCCGCTGGGCCCTGGCTGGCCCGAGGAGGGAGCCCTGCCCGGTCTGCAGACGCCCTGCGCCCGTGCGGTGTGGTGCCATTCTGCCGCGGGTGACGTGGAAAAGGGGCCGGGGCTCCCGTCGCCCAGTCCCCTCAACCTCCTCCCTAGTCTGGGGCCAACGCGTGCCCGAGCACCGCCCGGCAGTGGGGCCCCTCGGCCCTTCCATCGCTTAAGGTCCAGTTAAGGTCCAGTAAGCGCTGAAAACTGAAGCCGAGGGTGGCGGCGAAGGAGCTAAGGGCACGAGAGCTAGGGGAAGAAACTGGGGTGCCCCCTTCCCTCGGTGCCCTCAGCACGGGCAAGCTGTGCTTCGTGGTTCATCCTGGGCTGCTCTGTAGACACGCCTGTTGCTGTCATCCGCGGCGTTCCTGCTTTTGTCAGTAGTGAAGACAGACAGTGATGCACACCTGCGTTGCCTGAACACAACTTTACTGCACACGGTTATGTCTTTTCACTGTAAGGAGTGGTGACGTTACACGGTTGATACGTAGGCGTGTTTTGGAAAAAAGAAACAGGCCCGTAATCCGGTAATGTATTGGATTGGTGAATCTCTATTTTCAGAGTTTGGAGCCTCTTCCCGCGAGCGGTCCTGATTTCGGTGCTATAGGTGAAGAAGCAGAACTCGTGGAGGTTGAACCGGAAACTAAGCAAGAAATTCTTGAAAATAAGGATGTGAGTATGAGGACTGCCTGCCTTCCCCTAGGTTAAGTACCCGTACGTGATAAAAATGACTGCTGGTGCAAATAAATGCATCTTAAAAGCAGCTGTGCCTGATTGACTGAAATAAACTTGTCCTTTTATGCGAAACCTTGCATGAATTCAGCCAGGCTAACATGTAGGTAAGTAATTTTTTTAAAAAGTAATTAAAATCTTAAAACAGTTACCTCTTTTGAGAAGATACAGGAAAAGCTAAGTTGATGCATTTGACGCGTTTACATATCGGAGGCATTTTGGTTAGTATAACTTACAAAAATAAAATTCTGTGCTTTAAAAGGACTGAGGACCTTGGAGCAATTTAAAAACATTGGTCTTCTCGCCAGAATTGTTTAGTTTAGACCAGTGTTGTCCAAACTTGGCCACTTTAAGATGAGTGGACTTCAACTCCCAGAATTCCCCAGCCA